TGCTGGGATTACAGCACTTTTTTATTTTAATAGACTTTATCAAATATCTCTCCAAATAAGTTGTACCAATTTACAGTTACTTCAACAATATATAGCAATGCATGGCTTCCCCACCTCGGTTACACTAGGTATTATCAATCTCTTTAAAATGTGCTGATCTGATAAGTTAACATGGAAACCATTGTTAATTGAATTTACATTTATCTGTTTATTGAGATTGATCATCTTTTTACACAGGGCTTTTGGCCATATATAATTCCCTTGCTGTGAACTACTTACCTGTTTTGCTCATTTTTCTGTAAAACTGATCAACTTTTCCTTCTTGATCTGTGAAAGATCTCGAAATACTGGAGAAATTAGCTATTTGGCTATCATATAGGTAATAAAATATGGCATTATTTATGAATTCTGGTTTGTCCAGGATGGTTTTGGTATATGGGTGTGTGTGTTTCCTTTTTATAAATTAGAAGTTTTTATTTTTTTAATCATCATATTTATCTGTGTTTTCCTATATTACATTTTGTTTTACATCATCATAAGTAAAGGAATTTTTCTGCCATATTATAAGCATTAATTAAATATAAATTTTTTTTCATACTTTGATGGTTTTTTTTTCTGCATTTAAATCTTGCATTTGCCTAAACTTTACTGTAAGCAGTAGACTCAGGTTTGCATTCTTCCAAATGACTAGTCATTTTTTCAACACCATTTTTTTAATAACCTACCTTTTCCCACTGACTAGAAATGCAACTTTGTCTGTACCGAGAAACAGAAAGATACATATAGACAGATAGATTCCTAGCCTCTCAGTTCTGTTCTAATGATGTGTCTTTCCCTGTGCCACGTTCATATTCTGTTAATTTCTAGAATCATACTACATTTAGATGTCTGGTAAAAGTACTCTCATTTCTGGAACCTACTGAGTTTTATTAAATAATTTTCCTGGATCTTTTCTCCTGTGTCACTTTTTCAGTTGATCTTTCAAATTATTTTTACCATATTTTAAAATAAAACAACCTGTTGGGATTCGATTGCTCAAACTATCCTTTTTCTCTATCCTCACTGCATCCTGAATATGTGGAATCCTAACTCTGCTCTTTGCTTTCAGCCAACTCTGAACCTTCCAATTCTCAGCTGCCAAAGTGAGCTTTCTAGTACCCAGATTTAATCAGTTCTATTTGCTGCTGAATACTTGCAGTAACTTTTCATTCTTTTCAGGATGCAACCCAACATGTCAATGTAACATTCAAAACCTCCATCTACTTTTTCATCTTGACTATGTACCACTTCTTACCTCACTCAACACCTTTCTCCCAGTCATTACAAACTTTCTGTAGATCCCATACCAAGACGTCTTCTCTCTACTGTGTCTTTTGACACATCCTTGTCCTTGCCTGGACTGCCATCCCCCACTTGACTCACACTCACCTTGTGTTGGACAGGCGTCTCCTTCTCTGGCAAGCTGACATTAAATCCCTGTTCTACTCTACGTTAGATGTGCTTTCTTCATCAGAACCCCATTATTGGGCACTATCAGGTTACACCAGACTGTATGAGTTTCCATTTGTTTTCATCCTCACAAATTCTGGTGAATTTTGTTTTGTTACTTTTGTGTGTATGTGTGTGTGTGTGTGTGTGTGTGTGTGTGTGTGTGTGTTTTAACAGACAGGGGTCTCACTATGTTGCCTAGGCTAGCTTCAAACACCTTGGCTCAAGGAAGCCTCCACCATATCCTCCCAAGTAGCTCAGACTACAAGCATTCACCACCATGCCCATTTGCTATATTTTTGATAATAGACATCCTAAGGATAGTGAGATAATATCTCACTGTGGCTTTGAGTTGCAGTTCTCTAATTATAGTGATATTGAGCACTTTTTCATATATGTATTGGTCATTTGTATGTCTTATTTTGAGAAATGTCTATTCAAATCATTTTCCCATTTTACAATCAGATTCTTATTATTATTGCTGTTAAGCTGTTTAGGTTCCTTGTATATTCTGTATATTAGTTCCTCATTGGATGTATGGTTTGCAAATATTTTCTCCCATTCTACAGACTGTCTCTTCACTACATTGATTGTTTTCTTTGTTGTGCAGAGGAAACAATCATTTGCACAAGCAAGGAGAAAGCTTTGCTTTTTAGTTTGATGTAGTCACATTTGTCTATTTTGTTTTTTGTTGTCTGTGCTTTTGAAGTCTTTCCCACAAAATCTTTTCTAAAAGATCAATGTCCTGAAACAATTTCTCCATGTTTATTCTAATAGTCTTTTAGTTTTGGGTCTATATTTAAGTCTTTAATTCATTTTGAGTTGATTTTTATATATAGTGAAAGATAGAAGTCTAATTTCATTCTTCTATATATGGATATCCAGTTTACTAAGCATTGTTTACTGAAGAAGATGTCCTTTTTCCAATGTGAGTTCTTGGCACCTTTGTTGAAAATCAGTTGGCTATAAATACATGGATAATTTCTGAATTCCCTGTTATGTTCCATGGCTCTGTGTGTCTGTTTTTATACCAATGCCATGCTCTTTTGATTACTATGACTTTGTAGTGCATTTTGAAGTCAAGTAGTATGATGCCTCTAGCTTAGTTCTTTTTGCTCAACATCGCTTTGGTTATTTTGGCTCTTTTGTGGTTCTGTGTGAATTTGGGTATTGTTTTTTCTATTTCTTCGGATAATTTCCTTGATATTTTGGTAGAGTTTGCATTGAAACTGTAGATGGCTTTGGATAGTATGGTCATTTCAACAATATTAATTCTTCCATTCTGTGAGCACAGAATCTTTTCATTTTTTAATTCCTCTTCAATTTCTTTCATTACTGTTTTGTAGTTTTCGTTGTAGAGATCTTTCACCTTCTCAGTTAAATTCATTCCTAAGTGGAGTTTTTTTTGGTCACCATTATAAATGTGATTTCTTTTTTGATTTCTTTCTCATCTACTTTGTTTCAGCGGGGTTTGGAAATACTATTGACTTTTGTATGTTGATGTGTATCCTGCAAATTTACTCAATCTGTTTATCAGTTCCAAGAGTTTTTTTGGTGGTGTCTTTAGGTCTCTTAACAAATGGTTTCCTCTACCTTGAATATTTTTAATCTTTTTAAATAATTCCTATTTGCCTCTTAAGATTAGCTGAATCGTTACCTCCTTATTAATTTCCTGTAACTAGTGTCATAGGGATCCCCCCTCCCACCTCCTGGGACCTAATCTGCTGCAACATGGCACCATTTTGAGAGCAGAGCCACTACCAGAATACATCATGACCTGGGACCCAGTAGTCTCTGCATTTGCATTTCCCTGGGGCTTTGTCATCTTATAATTCTAGAGGTTAGAAACCAAATAGGGATCCCACTGGGCTAAAATCAACATGTTAGTAGGGCTAAATTCCTTCTGGAAACTCTAGAACTCATTTTCTAACCTTTTTAAGCTTCCCCATGCCACCTTCCTCGGGGTTCCCTTTTTTCACCTTGAAAGCCATCAGTGTAGTATCTTCCCTCCTTTCTTACCTCTATTCATATTCTTCATCTTCTCTCTCTGACCTTAACTCTACTGCCTCCCTCTCATAAGGATCCTAATGATTGCATTGGGTTTACCAGTATAATTTGCATAAATCTCCTTAACTCAAGATAGTTAACTTAATCACATCTGCAGAGTCCCTTTTACCATAAAAGGTAAAATATTTACTATCCAAAGATTAGGATGTTGAGATCTTTGGGGGACCATTATTTAGCCTACTATACCTTCTCTTCAAATATTATCTGATCTCTTGAGTTAGCATTTGTTCCTCATTCTCTGGATTTCAGAATAGTGAGTATATATTTCTAATATGAGAATTTTTAGAATGACTTTGAAATTGGGGTAATATTTCTACCTTTACTGTTATTTTCTTGGTGATGAAATTGTGTGTTTCATCTACGCAGTCAAGCAGGCCTGAATCTGGACCCAGATCTCCACAGATAGTGGAGCCAAATTCCTGGTCCAGATCTCAGCTTTGCCACCTATTAGTAAGAAGCAGCACCAATTTTTCAGTTTCTTCAACTGTAACATGTATGTAGTGATAGTATTTACCACAAAGATTTATTGTGAGTATTAATGAATATATGGAAATGACTTAGAACAGTGATAAGCACATATTATCCACTCAAAACTGTTAGTTATTATTACTTTCCACTTGTGTGATTATTGTAGGATTAAAGAGACAGTAAATAAAGTTACAGCACAATGTCTGGAACACAGAAAATTATCCCTACATTCTAGGTTTTTATTTATCATCATCATCTATGTTAAACACAACGGGTTAAAGTCAAATAGAATGAAGAAAATACTGTGTTTCAAAGGTAGGACTTTAGTGAAATGCACTCAACTTTATGCTAATAATCTGATGTTTCAGGCATTCTTACTCTCAGACTTAGTGTGGTTATAGGGTTAAAGATATGAAAGGTCAGTAGTGTTGCAAGGGATATATTTTATTAGTTTCATTAATGAAATTTTAATAGCAATAAATTCAGGCTTTTAAATGTTACAAAGTATTTTCAAATATCTTGTCTCATGGGGCCTTGATGTTAGCTTCAGAAAGTATCTAACAACCTAATAACTATTTGATTAGACTCCTCAGACTGTTAATATCCTTGTCACAGAATCGTTCTTTAGTCCTTATGTCATAGGGTCTTCAAGTATTATTCATTTGTTTCCAAAGCAAATTGAGCTATTTCACTCAAATGATTACAGTAAATAGAATAGAAACTTGTGGAATCATCTTCCTCTCTCGTAAATGAAGTAACAACGAAATAGCACAGCGTCTCAGCTGTTCCAGGTTCCTCAAATAAGTTTTACTTTTGCAAAACGAACCTCTAACTTCCTATATTCTCTGTTCTGCATTATAAGCAACATGACCAGCAGCCACGTTTGTTGTAATTTTTTAAATATGTGGAAAAAAAGCAAGATATCAACCATGTATTACCTTAACCAAGATGCCAAATTATCTAACTTGTTTCTCCAGGCAAGCAGCCCAACAACAGGGACAGCTCCCAGGAGCCAGTCAAGGTTGTCTGTCTGTCCATCCACTCAGGACATCTGCAGGTAAGTGCTGAACAAATTATCTTAATCAATATTCTTTGGATCAGTATTTGTATTCTTGATTTTTGTTCTGAGAATGTGTGTCTCTTGCTTCTGCTTTACATGGTCCATAGAAAATTTATACTGGCTATTTTTTTTTCCATTTAGTTCATTTTCTTCAATTGTTCTTTATTTATCTACTTCTGGTCCATGCTGTCATTTTCATCATTCTCTCTCTCTGTTTTTCCATGGTTTTCCTCTCCATTCCCATTTCCCATCCTTTGCCTGCTGCTCTGTCTAGATCTGCCATCTTGCATGACATGTCAGAAGAGTCATTTGAGTATTGCACCCCTGTCGTGGTGCTGAGCCCTGCTAGGAAGGAGTCTGGTAAGAAATCAGTAAAACAAAGACCTAGGAGGAGGAGAAAAGCCTCTGAGAGATATGAGCATGCTGCAGAAGAACAAATAAGAGGAAGAAAAAATGACTTTCACCTTCAAATCTCAAGCCCCAGATGGAGGGAGCTTTACACAGATTCTTCAGATTCATCTTCCACAGATGAGAGTCGTTGGATTCAGGCAAAAAGAAGAGCCCAGGTTAAATTCAGACTGTCAAGAAGAAGGAGGAGAAATAATAATAAGCCATGCGAAAACTTAGCTGGGTCTTCCACTCCTAATGGAATTGAGCTTGTTGATCTGGGATCCAAAGGTAAAGAGCAACAAGAGCTGATCGAATGTGAGAGCTGCTCTTTAAGTCTCCGCAGAGGAAAAGGTACAAGGTGCCAAGAATGCAGCACTTCTCTGACTCAAGGATCCTCTGAAATTAAGAGATCCTCAAGGAATCATGAGAAGAGCAAAGGTAGATATCACCACAGAGATCCTCAGCTCTTGCAAAGTCTTAGGAAAAATGAAATAATAAAGAAGACATTTTCCGAAACAGATTCCAGCACTGAAATGCTGGGAGTTCCAGAAGGCAGCAAGGACATGAATGATGCAGGGCTCCAGGTGAATAACCCTGTTCGGAAGCCTCCTGCCACCTATGACGATGGGTCTGATAATTTAGAAGTATGCAGGTCAGTCACTGTAGAGAAAGACTTGATGTCATCCAAATATGGTTCTTTTTGCATTGAGTTAGGTGCATGTTTGACACCTACCCTCAAAACTTTAACATTTATTTACACTGTTCTTTTTCTGATTGGATATAAAAGGAGAAAAGGTGGGTATGAAAAGAATAATGCAGATACAAACATGGGTTTGAAAGCTGTTACCAAGTGCAATTAGATATCCCCTTCCTTTTAACTGAATAATGATTTCTCCTGGTAAGGGGGCCGACTCAGGTGAGTCTTGCACTCATTCTAGTTAGGACAGTAATAGTGGGGGAATTAAGAGTGAGACTGTGTGAAATGTTAGACTTTTCAATGCAAATTTGGTGAACTGCTGGCATCCTGACAGAAAGATATTCAAGGCTTGAGTTCTTTAAGGTCAGATTTTTGTATCAGAAAATAATCTTCTCTGCAGTTGGCTTTAATTTGTTCTCCAATTGTCTAACTCAGCAGGGTAACTGAAGACTCAAAGGACACAGAAACAGGTCATGGACATATCAGTGGGGTTGCAAGAGCCTGCAGGGAAGGGGACCACATTAACTTTACTGATAAACATATACTGAAAGGTTTCAGCATGTGGATATTTTTTAGCTATGAGACAGTTTTCTTGCTCCTTTTAACCCAACAGCATACATTTTCAAAATAACCTTACATAAAAAGAATTACAGGAATATCCATGCTAGTGTGCATAAATGAAACAATTTCAAACAAAACAATATATTTTTACATTTTCATATGATACCTAATCATTTAAGCTGTTTAGATTCTGTAAGGGAGCAAATGAAGATTTTCACTGCGCAATACTTGGTATGTTTTGCTTTGTTTTTATAAAAGCAGAAGTTACTTCATAAAATATATATGCATGCTCATGTGAATTACATGACCCAGAGAAGTCTGCTCATGTCCATTCAGGGAAGGAATGAGAAGAATTAAACTCTACATGTGAATAATATAAGAATGGTTTGTTTCTCTGAAAGTTTTATCGGATAGTCATTCATAAAATCCTCATTCATTTATGTATTCAAGCATCTATTATGCATTGGGCTTTATTCTAGAGGTTGAAAATATTTTAGTGAATGAGATTTGTATAGTTTCTAACATCTTGCAGCTTGTAGTTTAATGTGGAACAGAGACCCAAAACAAATTAATTTACAGTTGATATATAATTATAATCATGATAAGAACTATGAAAGCACATAGCAAGGGAACTTAACCTACTGTGGGAGATGAGACAAAAACTCCCAGTTTTTGTAAGTGACAAGCAGGCTAAGGCTCAAAGGATGATGGGAACTGATCAGGAAATAAGCAGGAAAGATCATCCAAACAGGGGCTGCCACTGCAGGTGGGAAGGAGCTTGGCAATTCAGGGAATATAAAGCTTGCTGTTGCAGCTAGGTTGTGGTGAATGGGGGGATGGGTGGTAGAGAGAAGGATGGAGAAGTGGAGACGGCTCAACTGTACAGGGCCATGCGAAATGTGCTGAAGGACTTAAAGGAAATTTACAAAGAAACTGGCACCATGTAATTTATCTATAAATGTAAATTTCTTATAATCTTTTGATTATGATTTATATGTATCTTTGCTGAAAATTAGGGGATGGACTAAACCATTCTTTCTAGTCTGAATGGAAAATTTCTCACTTGCAACCGTCTGTTGTCATTCCCTAAATCTAACTTCCAACATAATCTAATGAAAGACAGTCAAAGAAGCTAGTTGTAGGATTAATGGTAATTGGAGAGAAAAATAATGCTTGCAATTAAAGTCATAATGACTGGTTCTCCTAACTTAAAAGCACGACTCTGAAGAAACATTTTCAGACAGGATGTTTAACTTAGACTTCTATTAATGAAAGTGAGATAGATGAGTCTATAGGTATTATTGCCTGCTAAAGATTACCATCAAAATATATCAACTAAGCGAATGCTACAGGCAGCATATTATAGTAGATGCTGAGGATACAAAGTAGCAAAAGACCTGATTCTTCCCTTAAGTGGCTTATTATCTAAGTGGCAGAGGTTGAACACATACTCAAAAAAAAAAAAAAGTGTATAAGATAGTACAGGATGAATGTAAGAAGAGGAATACTGCAGGATTTGAAGAAAGAAGATTTGCTGAGATCTGGGATGATCTAGAAAACCCCTAAAGAGGGACTGGGGCTGAGAAAAATAGAATTTACATTAGAACTCAAGGCGGGGGAAATACCATTAGCACCACAGGGATGGAATACTGACACCTGAATGTATGAATTCTACATGAACTTATATGACTAGATTGGAAAGTTTGCATACATTGATAAAAAAAATAATTCTTTAAAATAAGACATTTTGAAGAAAACTTACATATTCAGAGCTGTTTATTCATACATATATATGTGTGTGTGTGTGTGTATATATATGTATGTATGTGTGTGTGTATATATATGTATGTATGTGTGTGTGTGTATATACAGAAAGACCTTTTCTAAATAAAATAGGCTTAATGAAGTCACACATACAGTATAGTCACCAGTGTCTCTGATAAAGGAACCTAGCTTTAGGAGATGGAAGTATCCTGTATGTTGAGTAGAATACTCGAACAATAATGGATAAGGAAAGAGAAGAACAAATGGCAATTTACCATTCCACCAAGTGAACGGGGACAATCTCAGAGTTAGGATTTGGTGAGAGCCTAAGATAGAGAGGAGTCAAGGATGACTCCAAATCTTGGAACTTGGGACGACAGTAAATGTTGATGTTAATGAAAAGAGGCAGAAGACAGAGGCAAGTTGATTTAGGAAAGACATAGTTCAATTACAGGCAAGCTATTTGTGGTTACAATGACATTCCAAGGTCAGCTCTCCAGCAGACAATATGACACATGCTCTTGAACTGCGGAAGAGCAGTCAGAGTTGGGCATGTATAATTTTTCAATAATTAGTGAACTCTACACAGCCTGACACTAAACAATGGCATGTGTGCATTTTTTAACACAATGTGTTAGCACAGGATACTAAAGATATTAAACATTGAAAATCTATTCAAGGTCAGGAAGGACATATAGATTTGGGAATTATTCTCAAGGAGGTAGCAGTGGTGCCTGGAAAGTGAATTTAATCACTATAAAAGATCTTGTGTAGGAGAAAAGATACATATGATCTCTAGAAATGGATACAGCCTGAGCACCAGGGTCTTCTATGTAGGCAAAACAGTAACCCCTGAGAGAAGCAGCAATTGCCTGTGAACTCGCACTCTCAGGCATGCAGTCTTATGTCTGACTAGCAGGAGCAGTCTCAGCCACAACCACAAAAAGAAAGAAGTTCATAAGCCTTCCTTTTCTGTTCCTGGCATCTGGTCCCCACAGGCACACTCTATTCTGTTTCCCTCCTTCATCACAGCCTTTTTCAGAGAAAGTATCTCTATCAGCCCATTATATCTTAGAGGGAATTTAAGTCATCATACTATTAGGCCCACAGTTATTTCCACAGTACAGTAGAAAAGTATTTGCTTTTTTAAAAAAGGAATTGCATTTAATTAAAAAGGTAAACAAGCATGAATCAGATCATGTTAGCCCATGATTTTTGTGGCCTGTAAATTGCCCTCAGTAGAAGGTGCAAAATCTTTAATATTTACAAGTCCCTGTTGATCACTCTATCAGATCTGCCTCTCTAGCTCCACCACCCATGATTAATCATGACCTTTTCATGTTGGTCTGTTTCCAATTCCCTGAAAGCATTCAGGCGTACCCCTTTCAGGACCTAGAGCGGCTTTACCTTACCTCCTCGGCTCTTCTCCAGAGAAATTCCTATTCTTTCTCAGTTTAAATGCCATTTCTTTACGAACAGCTTCCTGACCTCCTAACCAACACTCAGGTCCCCTGGCAGTCACTTCCATAGCATAACTTTTAATTGCTAAAATATAGGCATTATTATTATTAACGGTGTCAAATTTGTTCACTGCAAAATCCAAAGTATCTGGAACAATGCCTGGCAGATAGCACATTCTCAACACATAGTTTTTGAATGAATAGCTTTAGGGAAAATGTACTTTTCTAAGGGAATAATTCTTAGGATGCAAAGTCATAGCACTGTATGTTGGATTGCCTCACCTGCTGTAGAGCCAACACGGAAAGAATACTCTACACCAGCAGTTCTAAAACTTTAGTGAACATCAGTGTCAACTGCAGGGCTTGTTAAAATGCAGATTCCTGGACCCACCCTTAGAGTTTCTGATGCCCTTACTCTGGGGTGAGGCTCATGAACTTGTATTTTTAAGATGTTCCCAGGTGATTCTGAAGCTTCTGATGCAGGAACCACACTTTGAGAAACACTAATCTAGGCTACAAATCATTCCCATGCTTTAGATAGGAAGAGAAAGGAGAGAAAAGAATCTAAAGAATGTATTTGAAAAGCCAAATATCCGTAGTTTTTAATCATATTCCCTTGAATGATGACACAGAGCATGACTAGGTTCCATTCCTGTACTTCACATTGTTGGACCAATATAGGATGGGTTATGTCACCAAAACCATAGTCTGGCAAAGTCCCACCTCTGCCAGGAACTCAAATGTCATGGTTTGGTTATTGCTTCCATTCAAATCCACTTCCTCATTTCAACTACTTCCATTTCTATCAGTGAGTCCACAAATTTCCTGGATTTTCCATTTTTGATCTTATTCCTTCCATATGGGATGTGTCCAGTCTCCAACAAAGTACTGTCATTTCTTCCTCCAGATATTGGTGTCTGATCTGTGCTTTCTTTCTCAATTCCAGTGTTCCATTCCAGTCCTTCTCCACACTTTCCATCTCCACCACATCCACTTTTTAGCCCACTAGCTGTTTTGTTAAGTACTTTTCTAATGGGATAAAATCAACAGAAATCAATTCAACTGAGCTTAAACAAGAAAGGGGTATGTTAACCACACGAACAGTAAAACAATGTATACAGATCGCTTCGGGAACTCCAGAAACAATGTGGTTCTCTCACTCTCTCTCTC